CCAGATTCCTGCCCTGTTTGAGTTCCTGTCTTGACTTCCTTCAGTAGTAGGCTATGATGTGGAAGTGTAAGTTAAATAAACCTTTTCCTCACCAAGTTGCTTTGGTCATGGTGTTTTGTCACAGCAATGGAAAACCCTGACTAAGACAGATAGGAACCTTTACACTGCACTAGCCTTGTTCTGAAAGAGAAATTAGTACTAGATGGACAACTTCTGATCACAGCTGAAAGGATCCAGTTATTGAAGCCACTTAAATATTGATGGCTAATTTTATGTCAACTTGACACAAGCTGGAATCACTTGAAAGGCAGGAATCTAAATTGATAAAATGTCTCCATAAGATTGGCCTATCAGCAAGTCTGTAGAGCATTTTTAAAATAGTGATTGATGGGGGGCAGTTAATTGTGGGTGTTGACACCCCTGGACTGGTGGTTCCAAGTTCTATAGGAAAGCAGACTGAACAAGCCATAAAGAGCAAGCCAGTAAGTGCCCCTCCTCCATGGGCTCTGTATCTGTTCATGACACCAGGTTCCTATCTTGTCTGAGTTCCTGTTCTGATTTCTTCAGTGATGAAGAGTGATGTGGAAGTGTAAGCCAAACAAATCCTTTCCTCCCCAGGTTGCTTTTGTTTATGGTATTTCATCAGAGCAATAGTAACTCTAACAAGACATGAACTGGTACCAGGAGTGGGGTATTACTATGACAGCTCTTACTATGTTGTCTTTGGGAGAGTTGTGGAAGGGGGAGCTTTGGAACTTTGGGCTAGAAAAGTCATTGAGTCTTGAGAGTTAGCACACAGAAGCTGTGATCCAGAGGTGGCAAGGTTGTACCTTGTGCAATCAGCCAAACTTGGTAGTGTAAGAGGCACCCAGGTGGTACTAGTTTTGAAGTCACAAAGGAGAGCAGCTGAGGAGAGTCATGGAGAGCAGCTGAGGCCTGGCACTATGTGGCAGGGTTGGAGTCCCTGAAGAGAATCCAGGAGGGGCTATTGATGAACATGCATCCCAGTTGCAACAGAAGATCCCAGCATTTTGGAGATGCCAGTACCATGAGGTGACCACCAAGAACAGCTGCATCTGTGGAGTGAAGCCAGCCTAAGCCTAGAAAACAACTGGGTGTGCTGTAGAGGGTGGAGCCAGGGAAGTGATCCAGGTCCTTTGGAGTAGCCCAGAAGACTGTGAGGGGATCCCAGATATAAGACACTAAGTTATTCACACAGACTTTGTCTTTTTTGCTTTGTTCAGGTTGTGATTATTCCCTGGTTCTTCCTTCTTGAAGTAAGAAAGTATTTAACTTATTTTTTTTTTATAGGAACCTACCACAAATGAAACTTTGGATTTTTGGATGTTTAAAGAGACTAAACTTTTAATGTGTTTGAAATTGTAAAGACTGTGGGATTTTTAAAGTTACTTATGTTTTATAATGTGGTATTATTATTATTAATTTGCCATATTAGTGACAAATGAGAAAGGGAAGGTTCTAACTAAAAAGTCATCTGTTTGTGTGTCGAGTTGACAAGGGGTTAATTTTGCTGTCTAGTATGTCAACTTTACACAAGCTATATTTGAGAGGGGGGAACCTCAACTGAGAAAATGTTTCCATAAGATCATGTTATAGGCTAGCCTGCAGGGCATTTTCTTAATTAATAATTCACAGGGGAGGGCCCAGCCCATTGTGGATGGTGCCCTTCCTGGGCTGGTGGTCCTGCGTTCTGTAAGAAATCAGACTGAGCAAGTCAGTAAGCAGCATGCCTCCATGGCCTCTGCATCAGTTCCTGCCTCCAGGTTCCTGATCTGCTTAAGTTCCTGTCCTGACTTCCTTCAGTGATAAACAGCGATATGGAAGTGTAAGCCAAGCGTAAGATAGGTAGCAAGCTCAGCTTTTGTCATTAGCTGGTTCCCATGTCGCAGAGTCAGCTCTTGACTTGGATTTGTGTATACACTTCCTGCTAGTGGGGCTTGCTGACCAGGAGCTTATAGACATTGTTGTCCCTTATAATGTAGCTCACAGATTTTCCTGAAAGTCGTGGGGGGTTCCCAATGTGTAGAGAGCCACAGGTAGATGTGGGTTGGTAGAGATGACAGTCTTGCAGGTGGAAGTGTGACATAAAGAGATGGGAAGATCTGGCTGAGGGACTTTGGAGCAAGCCACATCGCTGAAAGCCATTTACCTCAAAGCCATTTGGAGAAAGCAAAGTGGCCAGTGGGACCAACTAGGAGACAACAGACTTGTCAATGAAAGTCCACCACAATACTTTGAAAATTAGCAATTCTTGTGCACCACAAAGATGTTTTGTATCATGTTTGGGGGCATTTTTCCTCACCCAATTAGAAAGGAAACTTCATGCTATTTACTTGACGTTTCTCATCTGTATCCAGTGGATTTTCCTGAGTTCACTGGAGATGGAGGAGATGGGGATGCTGAAGCAAAGAGAGTAGAGTCCAGATGTTGGAAAGAGAACCAAGCACAAGGGGTTGAGTGGCAACTCCGTACAGGTCTACATGGGTCTGAGGGTCAAGTGTCCGAGCAGACTGTCTCAACAGCTGTGGCTTTTGAACCCCTTTTAGATTCTGCCTCTCCTGGGTACCATCTGCAGCAGATGAGAGCGCCTGACAATATCCAACTTCAAGAGCGCTGCAGGCATCAGCAAAGTCACCTCTGCTGTCTCTCTGAGGTCTAGAAGAAAGTGGGGGGCTGCCAGCAGGCCTGGAAACTGAATGGACTGACTGGGAAATCCCATATAAATGGGAAGCCCTGACTGGACCGAACTGTGTGCTGCCTGGTCCTTTCCTGCCGGAAAAACACCTGGGCCCCAGGCAGCCACACCTAGGCCCCATCAGCTACACCTGCAGGACCTTGTCGGCTCTGGACGCCATCAGCTTTCCCAACTGCTGTGTGCCCCACACTTGCACTTGGTACAGGTGCAGACCTTTGATTTTTGCTTACCTTGATCCTGTGAATTGTAAGCTCTTTTTTATCATGTGACCTCCCATGGATGGAAGGATTCATTTTCTCGGAGGAAAGGCTCAAAGGTTAACTACCTCTTGGTCTGTAGCATAGAAATGCCTGCTGGGTTGAGGGGGCGGTGAACACATGGCCTTTGCAATGATGGAAAGTTGTCCCAGTGGCCTAGGGCTAAGGTGATCTAAGCATGGGCAACAGCTACAGGTTCAAGAAGCCCACACGACTGAGAGAGCTGGTGTCTGTTATACTTCCAAATGCATCATGGCTTTTATTAGTTGTCTCTTTCTGCCCAGGGGTATTAGACATGACGACACAGATATAAATAGTGTTGTGTCCGTGGCTTTCAGATTCTGCACCCGTATCCTGGACTGGGATGACAGTCTTGCTTTACTTCCTCTGGGAGCCACACGCTATGGCGGGCACTGCCCTGTGCTTCACGCACCTCTTCCTGGTGTGGCGTTTGTCTGTCTCGTCTCTCAGGAAATTTCCAATGTGTCAGGAGTCAAGTCTGTCACCTCTGAAAGGGTTTTCATCACAGGCTTCCTTATTGCTATTGAGACACCTGTCCCCGTGTAGTCCCAGGGGAGTTTGAATGTTGCATCCCTCACTTCCCAAAGGCACCTGCTCCAACCAAATGCTAGAGCATGATGCCGTTTGCTGAACTCCCCTGTGCCTGTGGAAGTCAGCTTTGAAAGACACATACGGAGGGACCCAGTCGTGTTTATACACAGGACCGCGGGAAAGCCGAAGCTTCATAGTATCTCATGTGTTTACGGAAAACACACATATGGCTTGGTGCTGTGTTGAATATATATGACACATCTCTATTTCTATCCCATGTCTACATCTAAAGCCTTGGATTACTGAAGTTGAAATAAGAGAGGACATCTTTGAACAAACTGATTTCAGTTCCTCGGCTCATTTCGAGTGAGGAAAACAAAAATCTGCCGGAGGGGGGGCGCGCAGAAATAAAGTAAGAATAAACAGCTCATGGAAGCGAAGCTGCTTTGGTGACCCAGCCAGGCTAGAAGGTGGCAGTGCACTTGACCCCAGCAGGATCCATCCCCTCCCCTTCTCTGCGCCCCCTGTCCTTCAAGACAACCTTTGGAATCACATCTGATGTATTCATTACTTTCATTCTTGCCATGACCAAAAGTCTGACAAGAAACAATTCAAGGGAGGAAGGGCTTGGCTTGGGCTTACAGTCTGAGGAGAGACATTCGTCACTGTGGGGATGACGTCACAGCAGCAGGAGGAAGCGGCTGTCACACTAGGGTCACGTCCAGAAACAGGAAGTGGACAGGAAGTGGAGCTGGGCTTTAACACCCCAAGCCCCTCCCTCCCTGTGGCCCACTTCCTATGGCAAGGCTCCGCCTCCTAAGGGTTCCACAACTTTCCTGTCTCGGTTACTCTTCTACCGCTGTGCTAAGAAACCATGACCAAGGCACCTTATAGAAGAAAGAGTTTATCGGGGACTTACATTTCCAGAAAGTGATTCCATGACCCAGGGAACCTGGCAGCAGGCAGGCAGGCATGGAGCTGGAGCTGAGAGCTTACATCGTGATCCACAAGCAGGAGGCAGAGAAAGAGAGCTAACTGGGAATGGTATGGGCTTTTGACCTCTAAACTCACCCTCAGGGACAAACCTCCTCCAACAGGACTATGCCTCTTAATCCTTCCCAAACAGGACCACCAACTGGGGACCAAGGATTCAAACCTATGAGCCTATAGGGCTGTTCTTAGTCACACCACCACATCCCCTAACATCCCCATCATCTGCAGACCAGGCACTCAAGTATATGTGCCTGTAGGGGACATTTCACATTTGAACCACAACACCTTGGTCTCCATTTCAATTGGCATCAGGGTGGGCTTGGCAGAAGCCCAGAGGCAGATGGGAGAAGGACTGGGGATATCTGTGACTTGCCCTGACCGCTAGTGACAACACTCACTGGGGTTGAACATGCCCTGGTTTGGTCTGTGGGTCCTCAGCATTTCCCAGCTGGGATCTGACGGCGGCTCTCTTTGAACCCCATAGCTGGCACAATCCTCACTCAGGCCTTGCTTGGTAGACATGGCATTGTCTCTGCCTCAGTTTACTCTCTACCATTGTAACGGCACCCCCCAGACCGAGGACTGTAGCAAACAAATTTAGTTCTCATGGTTTGGGAGGCTCTATAGTCTAAGAACTTGGTTCTGACATCTATCAAGTGTCTTTGTGCTGTGGCATGCCATGGTGGATGGTGGGTAGGTAAGAGTGTGTCCCAAGGTAGAGGAGCAAGAGAGCCACCCTGAAGGCCACTCTTGCCTTAACTAACCCAATCCCTTGATGGCTGTATTCATCCCTCTTACCAGCCCAGCCTCTCTGCACGGGGATTTGTTTCCAAAGAGCTGGATGTTGGGAGACACATTTGAGCCCTAGCTGCTCCTGGTCATTTGCCTCACGGGCCTATGTTATGGCCAGCATCCTAACTGGGGTGTGTGTGGGGGAGGTCACAGCCCTGTGCTTCACAGAGGGAGCAGAGGCAGAGCCACGGCAGGCAAGAACATGTCATCTTGTCCTGGAATGACAGCCACTGTGGGTCAGTACAGCTGCCAGGAGCCTCTCTGTCCCCAGAAGACACCCTGCCACAATGCAATTTGCACACTGGGGCTGAGGGGGGTGGGTCTAGGGAGGGCGTGTAAATCAGGGCTTTTCATTCTGGGTGGCTCACATCATGGTGGGAGAAAGGTCATCGCGTGGCCACACAGCCCTGGAACCATTCAAGGGACTGTGCGGGAACTCTACAGAGCGGAAATGAAATGTCCTAGCTCAGAGCTACCAGGCCAGATGACATGCCCCACACAGTCACGACTTTATTTTGGAGGCCCAGAGCCATACAATGCATGTCCCAGGGCTGAAACCCCGTCACCCAGGGAGACAGAGGCCTTTTCTCTCTCAGGCTGGTGACTTCATTATGCATTCCCCGGCTGTGGACAGCACTGGTGAAAAACCTCTTCCGCCGGGCCCTGACAATTCTGGGAAAGTGGATGAGGGAGAGGGTGCTGGACCAGACCTGGCAAGAAATGGGTGAGAGAGTTTTTGGCAAAAGATTGCCACGCGGGTCGTGTGGAGCCTTGGAGCAGCCACAAAACACCCTCTTGTGTGCTGGAGTCAGTGGGGTGGGCTCTGGGTTCCTGTCAGAGCCCCCCCCAAGAGAGGAAATGTAGATATAACAGCAATAAAACCAGGTAGGGAGAGTCTGAATGAACACTGGCCAAGCACCCTTAAGATGCCTGTACTTGGTTTTGTGTGACAACTTGACACAGCTGGAGTCATCAGAGGAAGGAGCCTCAGCTGAGGAAATGCCTCCATAAGATCCAGCTGTAAGGCATTTTCTCATTTAGTGACCAGTGGGGGAGGGCCCAGTCCATGGTGTGTGGTGCCATCCCTGGCCTGGTGGTCCTGGGCTCTATAAGAAGGTGGGCTGAACAAGCCATGGGTAGCAAGCCAGTAAGCAGTACTCCTCCATGGCCTCTGTATCAGCTCCTGCCTCTGGGATCCTGCCCTTGAGTTCCTGTCCTGACTTCCTTCAGTGATGAACAGCAATGCTGAAGTGTAAGCCAAATAAACCCTTTCCTCCCCAACTAGCTTTTTGGTCATGGTATTTCGTCACAGCAATAGAAACCCTAAGACACTGCCCAGCTGCAATTGACATGTATAGATTTTGGAAGCTCTGAGACTGTCCTCCTATCTGAAAAGAAGTCACACAGTCTACCTCACCTGATGGCCACATGATCAAACTATATAAAGTATATGACAGCATGGTTGAAATAAAAGTTACGAGTCAGTCATGATTTAACCTGAGCTATGTCCCGTAAACTGGTATGTTTAAATATCTGGCCCCAGCTGGTGGCACTGTTTTAGGAGGTTTCAGGAGGGCTGGTTGGAGGAGGTGGGTCATTGGGCCTTTAAGGGTTATAGCTTGCCCCTGCCACAGGTCCTCAATTGTCCTGTAGATTGATGTGAAAGGGGCCTGTCCCACTGTGGGCGGTACCATCCCTAGACATGAGGGCCTGGGCTTTTAAAAAAGGAATCTGAGAAAACCATGGCAAGCAAGCCAGTAATCAGAGTTCCTCCATGGTCTCTGCATCAGTTCCTGCCCCAACTTCTCTCAGTGATGGTGTGTGGCCTGGGAATTGCAAGCTGAAGGATGCGCTTGCTCAGTGTTTTTTCACAGCAATAGGAAAACCAAAGTAGGGCAGGCAGCTTCAAAGAACTGGCTCTGATGTCTCCAACTCTAAGGCTCACTGGGGTTCACTTCTCAGCACATAGCAGGGGCCGGATCTCAGTTTCCCTCCCCACCTCCATGCCCAGCCAGTTAGTCTTTTCTTTTATCTTGCAGAGAACCACAGGATAGAAACCCTAGGCTCTTCATCACTTAAGACTTTTTCTTTTCTGAGCCGGGCGGTGGTGGCGCACGCCTTTAATCCCAGCACTCGGGAGGCAGAGCCAGGCGGATCTCTGAGTTTGAGGCCAGCCTGGGCTACCAAGTG